TGGTCTGCTGTCGCGAGGCCGGGGTTTAGGATTTCCCAGGTGAGTGCTTTGTCGCATATGGTTTCGGAGGCGTATATCCTATCAATTCTTGATAGGGATGTTCCTGTTGCGTGTCCATATGTGTAGTTCTTTTCAGGGGGTGGGTGTGTAGTTCTCCAACCATCTGATAGGGATTTGTGGGTTATGAAGTTTCGGAGGGCTGTTACGGCTGTTTCGGGGTCGGGGTGGGGGGGGAGTCTGTCAGTGGATTCCTCAACCATGTTGAGGTCACCTAGCATGATGTCTATCGGAGTATTGGCCAGCTTTTGGTCTAGCTCTAACCAGAAATTGGCATTGTTGTTATTTGTGTTTATGTTGGGGGCATAGATAGATAGAATTCTCATGGTTTCGCTTTCTGGCCATTCTATTTCAGTGAGGAGGGCTCGGCCGGGTATGACACATCTCGATGTGAGGGGGTCTTTCTTAACTATGTTTTTGTTTATTATAATTGCGACACTGCCGGAGCGGGTGTGGTCCACATTGTATGAGTGTATGATGTTCCATTCCGAGCCAAAGGTATTGTCTAAGTAAGATTGTTGAAGTTGATCTGTGTGGGTTTCGGAGAGGCATAAGATGCCATATTTTTCTTGTTTCATTTTCTGTAAGATGGTTGGCCACTTGTTCCTTGTTATGGGGCTATTTGCCCCTTTTATGTTGAGGGCACCTATTTTTAAGTTGGTAGGTGGGTTCTTTGGCGGTCCATTGCCACCCCTTAGGCGGAGGGGTTTTTTGGGTGACTCCATTTTTCGATCCGCTGCCCCCTTCATGGGGTGTTCATTAAATGGCATAAACTGATCATCCTTGGGGGACAGAGGCCTTTTACCAGATGAGTGTGCATAAGGAGATTGGGGATCCTTCTTGGGTTTTCTTTTGATTAAACTTAGTTGTTCACTGGCGATTGTGTTAGTTCCCATTGGTTGCCGGCCATTTGGGAATTTGTTGTGGGGAGAGGGGGGGCTGGCACGCTTTCCTGTCACCTTTCGGTTCAGTAGATTTGGGCACGCTAGTGGGGTTCCATGTTTTTCTCAGGTTTTCAGCATGATCATTTTATTATAGGGAAGGAGAGGTACATTGGGCAGGGGACTGGGTTGCCATTGTAGTGTAAAGTGACATTACCATATTATTTATTCACGGTATCTTCCGCGTCCGTTGTTGCGGCCAGGGTACCTTCCGCAGCCACGTCTCACAGGGTGGTGTATGGGTCGGTCCGGGGTTAGGGTACTCGGACCTGGATTGAGCTCACGCCAGATGTGGTGGTCATGAATTGGGCACACTGAGAAAGTATGGTCGATCCCTTTGCATGTGTGGCAGTAAATATGGTCGCCACTGGCGGACCCACTGTTGCTCATGGGGGTGGAGAATGAAGTTTGTTTGAACAGTTGAATCCATAGGTCATGGATACTGTTCATGTCCCCGGGGGTGGGGTCTTGGACTTCGAAGAAAGGGGAGGGAGGTGGATTTCCCACAGAGTGACATTCGCGTCGGAGGTTGGGTTTCTACGCTCAGATGGGTTGAGACCCCCATGGTTGGAGTTAGAGTAGCCTCGTGGGATGGCCGCACATCTGTTCGCTAGGCAGTTAATTTCATCCTCATTTAGGTTGGCTTTTTCCAGGAAGTTTCTGAATGGTGATCCGTGTTTGAGGATCCTTTGAGTAATAGCATTTTCCACGTCATCCTTTTCATTTAGGTTTGCTCTGAGGCCACGTAGGGAGACTACATATCTGGATGGCCTGTTATGGAAATGGAGATTCCTATGGACCATGCACACAGGTAAGACAATTCCTTCCCTTCACTTTGTTCATTGCCAAACCCCATGCCAAGCTTTCCCACTGGGTTTTGGTGCTGGCTGGGGGATTTGTTGATTTCCAAGGGACTTCCCTTGGCCATTACAACCTTTGTATTAGATAGACACAAGTCATATGACATGTATGGCAAATGCTGAGATGTTGATCATTATCGAATACATAACCCACAAACCTTGTACCGCGATTGTAACATCCTCATCATTGTGCCACCACTGTAAACTCAACCTGTAACCCTGGAACCATGTCCACCTCCCTATTCATCCTCTCCATGACAAAACCGCAACGAGGAGGGCATTCCCATGCCCAACCTCCTGCAGCCCACTCCCACCAGTCCACCAGGTGGTTGAGCGGTCACTCCCATCCAACCAGAAGTTCCCTTTCAGGAACTGTAGCCTATCCCACCTCTTTAGGAGAGGGATATGGTCCAGGCAGCTCCAGGATGCCTGGCCATGCACCTGCGGGTCCCACTTCCCACGGTCACCCACTACCGTGCACTGGTCCACCAGCCCGCTTTCCCCAACAACTCCTGCTACCGGTATGCTCCCGTGAGTGCCAAGTCACCGATAGCCACCAACTGGGTGATTCCCTTTGGGAGTCCCAGTATCCCGCACTACCAGTACGCTCCATTGAGTGCCAAGTCACCGCTAGCCAACCACTCCCAGCACACCCGCTACTGGCACGCTCTCAGGAGTGCCAAGTCCCCATTAGCAGACAGCCAGGAGGCTCCCTCAAGGAGCCCACATCATACTCGCTACCGGTACGCTCCCAGGAGCGCCAAGTTACCGTTGGCCAACCCACAGGTTGTACTTCCAGACACTCATCCCATTCCGCTCTCCCTCTGATGGCTATACAGCCACCTCCATTAGTGAGCCGAACAGTTCAGGTTGGGTTCCCCGGAACCCATTCCTGTAACATGGCCTGTAGTTTGCAAAGTTGATCGCAATAAAGCATATCGTGTGGCTTATCCATAGATGGCTGGCTATGAGGGTGTTGATATGTGAGGGGTGGAGGCCTTCCACAAGGAAGCCCCAAGGGGTTCTGGATTGGTCATGGGTTTGGGCCGTTGGCGGACGGACCATAATGTTTGGGCCTGATTGAGGGAAGGCCCTTTTAAGAAAGGTCGTCAGATCATTCCTGAATTTTTGGTTACTTTCGGCGCTGTGCTTGGCGTCTAGCGGGTAAGATAGAATAGTTCTCAAGATGGATCTCCATTGGGCAAGGCGGTCATCGCTGATATTGGCAAGAATTCTTGCGGGTCACGCACCGTGGGCTTGGAAGTCAGTCAGTTTGCCGTCGAGGTCAACATAGTTGAAGAGGACATTCCCATCTTGTGGGCGCTGGGCTGCCGCTGTTACATAGTCCGGGGCGTCTGCCGTGGCTGGGATTCGGGTGTCATATGGGAGTTCGAGAGGGAGGTTGGGTGTAATGATAGGATTTTGGGTGTCAGCCGTCATATGGTTGTCAGAAGAGGTGTTGCCGGCCCTTCCTACAGTAGGAGGGGGTGGGGGCATGAGGCTTGGTCCTTGTATGTTAGCCAATTCGGGAGACCTCTGGCGTTTGGCTACTTCAAGTATGGAGGTGGTAGGTGGGAGTACGGACAAGGGTAGTTCGGTCATAATGGGGGCTCTGATTTTGACCACAGGGGTACTTTGTCGGTATGACTTGTTTGGGGAGTCGTCTACCATAGTGTCATCTTCCTCAAGGTATTTAGTGGGCGACGGTGATGATAGAGGGCTATCTTGCATATTGGCTGTTTGGGGAGGGACTGCTGTGTGGGGTATTATTTGTACGTTATTGTATGTTATGGTATTGTTTAGGAGTTCGTGAGGATACACACCGTTTTGGTGTACTTCCGCTTGTATTCGATGTGGGACGAGCGGTACTTCTGTATGTGTACTTCATGGCAGTATTTGCCTAATCTTTGCGGGATTACCCGAATACAGAAACTGTAACAGTTTAACGTGTACCTTGCTCCTAGCCCCTACCGGATGGGGACCCGACAGCGTATTAGGCTTAATATGATTGCCTTGTCGGGGTCCAGGGGTCTTTTTTGCTGGTAGAGCCAGCGACTCATCCAGTTTTACAGCTGATGGTCCCTCCCGTATCATATGCCTGTTTTCTGTTGTTTATTGTGTACTTAGAGCATGTTATTTCCGTTATCTTACCCTGCTAGTTTAACGACATTGCGGTCGGTGTACTGAAGTTGTGCACTGGGTAGCAAGTCGTCGGCGTGTGGTAAGTTCGCCTTCTTCATTTGGGCTGAGTATGAACCTATTGATCTGAGCATCAATCTAAATTCGGAGTGAATGGTGTCCGAAACTGTTTGAAGCACCATCCTTGCACACAATGCATCTGAAAATCCGGTTACGCCTCTTTTCGCCATGGGAAGTGGCACCGCCTTCCACTCGTTCCGAGTGGTCCTTCTGGATGAGCTTCTAGCTCTCGGGACGCTGACTATGAAGGGCTATGACTGGGGTATAACATGGCAGCATGTTTATCGGAACTGATTGGTGGGTAGCACACGTATCCAACGTATCCAATTTGGCGAGTTGGCTCTCACCGTGTCCTTGGCTTGTCATTTGGGGGAAATATCATTGATGTGCAGATAGAAGTACAGTTGAAATGTGTTCCCATTTGCGATTGATCACTCACTACATACCTATACGGCCTGACAACTAGCAGGATTCCCATTCGATGACGTTTCCCAGATGTGATTCTGGTGGCATCCTCTCGATGCACATCACCTGCCCATCAAGTTGGCTAGTCATTCGTATCGTGCAAAGGACATATTCATGTTTCGTCGTTATGCTCCCATCCTTCATCCTGCCTCCATCCCGCCTCCATCCTGTATCCCTTAGGTAGTTATACTGTGCTGTCCCTACATCTTATGATCACACGTACCCACATTGCGACGGAGCCATATTTTGAGAAGGAGAGATAAGGATGCGTGATACAACCAATGTAAATCCATGAATAACTGTTGTTTCTTTCAGCGGCTCGGATGCGTGTGCATCCCATAAGACGGGCCCACAAAACTTTCTTCAATCTTTATTCGAGAAGCTGTACGGTCTTACTTATTTCATTGGGCGCTACATCTTCCTGTACTCCGCACGATACCAGAGACCCATCGCCACCAACAATATTGTATATTACCAGACCTAACGTTACAGAAATATCGGGAATATACGCTTCGGAGACTCTCCACAATTCTAAACAGCGTTGCAGCGCAAAAGTCATCAAGCTTATAGCCAAGAGTGTGACAAGTGCACTGGTAAATGCTAAACAACTTGGCTAATGTCCACGACAATTGGGGCCCGTAACATTCCCTGGACCAGGAACCGAGTCCCATCCCTGCTGGACTGAGGGCGGTAAAGCTTTGGAGAATCATATGGCACTCGATGACCATACCAGGATTGCTGGTAATCGAATGGTTTATATTCCCATGGGAGCGCAAGTTTGTATCTGCCATTAAGCCACAAAACTGGTTGGAGCGGTGGTACACCGATTATTGGGGTTCTCGTTACGGCGGGCAAATGGTGAAGCCAAACCATTCCCTCCGAGTTGCTTGGCGAGAGGTCGTAAAATGGGCACTTGATCCAGGACTCATCAGACTCGTCATGCGCGTCAGAATGATGCACACAAGCTGTGTTGCCTTCTGCCAAGGGAAGAGTGGCTCGAGTGAATATAGGATCAGGGATAAGGTATGAGCATGTCAGAGGGACATTAGGATTAATAATCCAATAACCGGAGTTCGTCACCCGATAACCCGCGATGCATTGGCATGATTCTGTTGACCAGGTAACAGCCTGGGCCCCATCAAAAGCACCAACATGGCGTGCTCCTGGGGAGAAACCGAGTGTCCGACGGCGCGGAACGACTAACCCCTCATTATCGAGTTGAGAAGGTAAAGGAGGAGATACGAGAGGCTGAATGGATGGAACTTCCAAAACAGATATGAGCGTCATGTTGTTGTACCAAGGGCTGTCGAGATTTCGTGGGGCTCGCACGACAAATAATCCGTCATCTGAGGTTGTGGTTCCAGCTGGATAGGGACTGGTGGGAAGAGTGCCAAGATTCACAGGGGCCATACCGTCGCCAAGGATCGTTACATTCCCTTCGTTATCCTCAGTGACGACTCGGTGGCTGCCATGTACAAATTCGATCCAGGCCGGGAGATTGGCTGGATCGCGCTGCAATCGACAGATTGTGCACTGGCGGTTGATATCGGCCACTTCGATAATTCCGCTGCCAAATCCGAGTGCAATATAGCAACCATCGAGGGAGAGTGCAGTGCATGTCACAATACCATTGCGAACATCGGGTTCATGGAATTCAGCTTCGTAATTGATTATCTTACCTCCCCATTGATCGACCACCTCCAGTAGTTCACTCAACTTTGCCTGCATGACCTCTTGGTTGATGAGCAGATCCTTGCTTAATGGAATGGTGCCACCAGAGAACTCGCCGAAGGCAGAGAAGATCCGGACAGGATCAGCGAGATGTCCATATCGTTTGTAAAGGGGCGATGAGGGTGGGGCGAAAGGGAGCACTGATCGATAGAGATGCCATGGTGTGTCCGCAGGACTCTCAGCTGCTACCTCACATAAACCTTTCAAGAGGTGGATTGAATCATGATTCTATCAAAAATGACATCAGACAAGCGTCGGATGAATAGTTTATACTTACACCGAACTGAAGTAATTCGTCAGGAATTACATAGTAAGAATCTTTTATGTGCACGAAAGTCAAGATGTATTTTTGTGTGATGAAGGAATTAAACTCGTTCTGTAATTCATTGGACTCTTGTGAAAAAAGTTGCGAAGGGTCCAAGTGCTTGTACAAGTATTCAATAACATAGCGGAAGCGCCCGCGATAATCGTCCTTTTTCATCAAAAATTCCTTCCATATTCTTTCATCTCCGAAAGGGGGATTCGTAGGTATTCCGAATGTATCCTGCTCACAATGAGTGTTGAAGAGTCGAAGGAGCGGCAATCCAAAGAAGTACCCTTGCACATCATCGATGAAGAATACTTTGTCCCTCTCATCGCCAATTGGTTCCCCTGTGAGGAATTCTTTTACTGTTGCGTGATATAAGGCCACATCCTCTGCATCCTCTAAGGGAAGATTGACGATGGAGCTGATTGGTTCCAATGTCGCACGGATCTCAGCTTCGCTAATCTTGAAAAGCTGTGACATAAAAGAGACGTTCATCGGCTCGTGCGCCACAACAATTGCGCCAACCACTAAGCGGTACTTCTTGGCTACATCTGGATGAATATCAGATGAATCCAGCGTGTAGGCTCGTCGAAGAATTCGCAAGTATTCCCAGTTGAGGTTGGTAGGTGCATCAGTGAGGTTTAGCAACTCCCAGCACACCGACTGTAAGGTGCGGCCACGCCGTGTCTGCATGGCAGCATCGCGGACCCGGATGGATGCCATAACAGGTAACCCCCGACAAGCCCAAGCGAGAGCGTCAAGTTCCTTCTCGTCTGGTTTCCATGAATACTTGTCAAAGAGGTGCTGAAGGCCTTCTTCCACCATACAGCGGACCGTCTGGAAACCTTCCTCCCATACAACCTCATCCAAATCTTCACATAGTATGACATGACCCTTGGCCCGAGCTTCATCCCGAGCTGAAATGACTTCTGGCTCAGGACGAGAACTAACTAGCACAGAAAATATCGGTGGCAGCTCCTGAAAGGCAAGCACTAGTTCCATCAGGGACCCGAGTCTCTCATGATCCCCGCACTCATCAAGGCCATCCAGGACAATAACGATGTGATCCTTTCCCGAGGACCATACGTCCTTCAAGTCACGCATCGGCTCAATCATCAGAGTATTGATTTGTTTGTCCAGAGGGAGATCCTGAACAAAGACCAAATCTGGTTGCCGAAGGCGTTTGACAAGCGACAATTTGAAGTCTTCATTGAAGGATGCAAGTTGACAAGCAAGGGTGGAGGGGAACAGTTCGATAGAATCCAAGCCCTTTCCTGCCTGGTTCTTATCCCAGAAGAATGACGCGGCTAGCATACCTTGCTCCTTAAGAGTGGATGCGACACTCATAGATATCGCAGTCTTCCCTGTCCCAGGAGATCCCCGTAGCCAAACGAATCGATTCCCAGCTTCCTTCAGGTGCATGAGTAGGGATTCTTGAATCCTATCCCGCGTGCCTGGTAGGCACTTTGATTTGCTTTTCACATAAAGGTGCTCGGCCGGGGCTCGCTTGAGTTTCGATATCTCAGCTAGGAGCATGTGTGATTAGGAAATCCATAAGTATCTACGCAGACACGTACATTGAACCGATGTGTGCCCAGTACGAAGCATGATAAAAGTCAACGATCTCAGCTGTGGCGGACATGGTAAGTCAGGATCCAGTCACCCAAAAAATCTCGAGTACGCAAACCTCGAATCGATGAATTGCATTATTCAGGTAGTTCTTCATATCGGTTATTTGCTGTGTTATATCAGGCGCTTGAACGGTCTTCTTGACAACATGCTTTTTCTGTACTACTACAGTGTTCTCTAGTTGTGTTTGCAACGCGCTACGAAGAGAATGAATGAATGTAAACGAGAGGAAAATGAAATCCATACACGCAGAATTCCTGCACTAGGGTCTTTAGCTCAGGAGGAGTGTCTCCAGTCCAGTTCTGGAGAGGTTTCACCACCGATTCTTGCGCTTGCTGAATCACGATGCATAACTGGTTGAGTTCCTCGGTATTGCCACTGACATTCTACATGTATGCAACAGGTGTGAAAGCAATCAAGAGCAAGATCATCAAGATGATTAACAAACCTCGCATATTTGAATACATCTCAGAAGCGTGTTTGGGATCTGATCAAGATTAGCGATGGGGGCGAACTTGAGACCAGTGGCCGCAGCTTCAAGAAGTAGTTTGGTGGTGCCGATGATCGTCTTCTTCAGATCGCCATCGGATCTACGAGGCACAGATTCCGCTGGCATCGATGAAATAGCTGGGATTGATGATCCAGGTTCTTGTTGCGTGTGGACGCTTGGGTCATCGTTACCAGTGGCAAGTGAGTTGCCCGTCGCGTGTGGGAATTCGGTATTCGTCTCGGTGGGAGGAGACAGTGATGGCCACGAGTCGTTTGTGGGTGTCTGGACGGGAGCAGTCGGCATAGGACGTTTGGATTGGGATGCGCTTGATTGGCTGTGACGACTGGGACTGGGACTGGGAGTGGAACGGGGTCTTCTTCGGAATGGCCGAAGTAGCTTGTCTCGAAAAGATGTCCGTTGCTCCGTGGTATTATCCTGTAAGGTGCTACAATGAAGTAGAACAGTGGATGCTGTAGTAGTAAGGGCGCCATAATACAGTCCTTCGGGGCTGCCATGGTCTTTGTCGTTCGTTCTGTCATGTGCGGTGGTAGGCTCGATGATCTGGTTGTTGGAGGGAGGTGTTGAGACCTGCGGCCGATCGTCAGAAAGCTCAGAAGGGTGCCGCGTCTTCTTGAACCAGGAGGGAAAGCGATGAGATTTAGGATCACTGGGCATGGCGTTGGTATGGCTAGCGATCAGAACGATGTGCGTCTAAGGAGTTTGGGAGAAGTGCTCTCATATCATATATGCGTCGACTCGCCTTAGTGGACGTAACAGGTATTAGTAAGACAACGTGGATCCCTAGCATGGAAATAACCACGCACCTTCCCTGGACCTGATAAACAGCGTAAGCGTTTAAGCTACTCCGTAGAGATGGAGTGGACCAAATCCAAAGGCAACATTGCGCACTCGAATACAAGCCATTTTGTGTAGTGACGCACGCACGTAACGCTGAGCCCTCAGCCTGGACCATGCAAATTCAACGCGTGCTTCCACCCAAGAATGGGAGTCGGTGTGAAATAGTATATACATACCCAACGGCGTGTGGACCATTCGAGAAGCAGAGTATTATTGAATTGGCTTCTCGATAGCGATAAATAAATTCATAGCTCAGGCCTCCTGTGCTTGCAAACAAAGGACATTCAACATACAAATGCGTGCCCGCTTGACGTGAAAAGGAGAAATCCTCCCGGTGGGCGTGAAGGTCTAAGCCAGTCACAAGTCGATAGAGATGGAATAGACCAAGACGACATTGCGAACTCGCTTACAAGACCTAATCATTTTCCTTGCCAACTGTATAATGATGCACACGCGTAGCGTCGAGCCCCCAGTTAGCCTGGGCCATGAAACGTGCGCTTCTATTTCCGTGGAGCAGAGTATGTAACAGTATATGTGCAGAGGGAAAATCAATCTCAGACAATAATGAGCAAGCGGGTTGAAACGGCACAGAGCGTCAAGTCGTTGGACACTAGCTCTTTTTTGACATTCACATGATCCTGACATTGCGGAACTTCCCATATGCATGATGCTATTTGCACCGCCACAGTCCCCAACTCCCGTGAGCGATACCTCATAAGCGCAGTCCGGCGCGTCTCCAATTTATAGGAATGGCTTTGTGGTCATCTCGTATTTTTTGTTCACCAACCCCGACCCCACTGCCTAGAGTCATGCAATCATGTCCGCACACGCACACGCCATTGTTTGGGGTAGAAAAAGGATAAAATGGTTTTTAAGCGGTACATTTCAGAAAAGTTGGTGACACTGTTGAAGTTCGCGGTCCAATTCCCACCTTGAGTTTGGCGAAAGAAATGGAGAATGACTGGGATGAAATTGCCATGGTCGGTAGTTAAGTACCTTTCCTCCCCGACAGTGGATGTCTGAGGCTGGGCCATGCCGTGAACCTCATGCTACATAGATCTCTGACGCCGTTCTTCCAGCTGCTTCACCTCTTTCTGCGGGGGTGTTCAGGTAAAGCGATTATCAAGTCATGCATCGCATTGCTTCATGCTTCTCCTAATCCTGAAGAACTCCTGCCACCTATTATTCTCTCAGCACTCCGATCTCTTGAACAGCATCCAGGTGCTTTGACCTTCAAACTCTTGGTCGATGGTCCACATCCACCCTCTTCTGTGTGCGGCGATACCTCATCCAAGCCTTTACATATCGGCCAGATGACAAAGCAGGATTCATTGCCACTTTGGGCTTTAGTCACGCCCATGCCGTCTAGAAGCTCTCTTCTTTTTTGATCAAATCCCTTCCCATAGGTGTCGCACCCCTCTCACGTCGCCATTTCATCGTCCCTATAGCTGTCCAACAAAGTGCTGCTATTAATTAGTCTCTGGTCTAGAACTGTCGTCCAGTCACTCGCTGAGATTGCATACATCATCAACTTACCCCAGGATGATAAATGCATCGCTGTTGTCCCCGTGCGCGATCTCACATCGGGCCCAGTAAGAGGCGCGTTAGGGGCAACCCGGATAGTCAGGTTAGAAAGTTTTGGAGATAGATCTTGTCTGTACGTCATCGTGCAGACGGTTGGCATGTATGGGGCTCTGGATTCCCGTATTGCTTCTCCGGTTCCTACTGTTCTTGCGTGGTATGAACGTTCAGTTTGAACCATCCATGGCGCCTCCCCCGTTTTGATTGCCATCTCAAGAAATGTTTCGCCATAGCTAGCATACATTTGAGAATTATCTCTCAATACACATCTCTTTGGCCTTTGCCTTATTTAATGCGACAGTGATCAAGAAATGCTAGGTGCGCGCTCATCTCCAAACCATAACTCGAAGACCCCCTATGCGACCAACCCACCGGCCAACCGAGGCCAACATCACCCTCGATCTCTTCTCAGGGGACGCTGCGCTGCGGAAGTCATCGATGGCCCCTCATCCCTGGACAAGCCCATAGTCGGGGGTGCTCCAAATGGAGGGCCCAGAAGGTGAGGAAGAAAAAGTAGCCACCCATCGTAGTTCATTGACTCCAACCTCTTGGTTGACTTGCACTTGAACAGAGGATATAATGGGTAAACAACGAGTCGGTGGTAGAACCGCTGAAGGCATGTTGCCGTTGGGCAGTGTGCGTAAACACAAGCCAAACACAACACCTGTGCACCAATTGCCAATGCGCAGAAGTGACATCCTCTGCGATGGTGGTTTCTAGAACTTGCAATACTACCGCAAATGTGGTAGCTGTGTGAGGCGCACCAGAGGTCCTCTGCGCACGATGAATAACGCTATAAGTGCCCATCCGGCTGGAGCAGTCAGAATGTTAAGATAGAATTTTTTTCAATAATAACGCATACAAACTTGGAAGCGTTGAAGAGTCGAATTGAGATGTTTTTATGAATCTTCAAGCGGTAAACCATATTGGAAGCTTGAGTACAGTAACGAAGAGCGAGCAAATACGGGCATGAGTGGAAAGCGTTGAAACAAGTTGCCCAATCACCGGCCCCAAGAATGGAGTGGTTGTGTCGTCGCTAGCCACGGGAATGACAGCATTATATGGAAATCGTGCTAAACAGAGGTGACCGAGACCGGCTGCATTGCCACAAACTGCAGGTGTGGCGTGAAGGAGGAATGTGAGAAGGAAGTCGGCAAATTAGAATGACATCGAGAGAATAAGGTTCCGCACGGAGTACTCTCCTGACAGGAAGACTCTCAATGATCATGCCATCATCAATTAATCGGGTGGAAGAGTAGCATTTTCCCAATGTGGAGGAACGATGGCCGCTTTTCCCATCCAGCAAGAATGTAGCCACCGAGATACGATTTAATGCATGTGTTACAGTCGCAATGACATGACACGCCAATGGCGCACCCTTCCACGCGTCTCGGGGGACCAATTCAGATCATCAGCGGATAAACTAGGGCCACCTCTCACAGGAGGTAGCCCTCCAGGCCGAGTAGCAGTGTTGTCGAATACTCCACCACGAGTGTCACGCGCATAGTGGGAGATAGGATGGTGCTGAAGGCTTTCGGAATAGACCATTCGTGTTGCCGAACGAGTTTGGTACTGCAGCGCCGGCGGCTGGGGCGGCAAGCCTGGAGGAGGCGCAGAGGCGTGTTCATAGCTGAACTTAGAGCTTCAGGAACAGGGAGAGCCAAAGAGCGAAGTGACGACATCCGCAGAGGATCTTTTGTTGAGGACAGAGTGGGAGTCTTGATGCGGCTTAGTAGGCCTCAAGATGTCATTTCCCCCCTCGTCAGCGACTGGGTCCTCAGAAGTAGCCTAGCTCTGATGAGCGAGCAGGCTTTTCAGTGTCTAAGCATTTGCGGACCAACGAAACCCGGAGGTTGGGGACAGTACAGCTAGCGTCTAAAGCCGACAATGGAGATGGCTTGAATCTGCTCATCCAGCGTCGGAAAGCTCCTATCACAAATTGAGCAACCAGCAGGGTTACTTGCGCGCCACATGAATAATATATATGTCTTCCGACGTCCCCTTTTGGCCGTGGCGTTAATTTATCATGCTCTTACCAATTAGAGAGCTAGTTCATTCGATTCGTTGTACTTGGAGCCGCACAAGTGCTAACGGGAAGATCGACAGAACTGAATTGTTTCAGCCAAGAACCAGGCATTGCATGGTCGTGAAGCGAGTCCATTCCATCCTTGATTACTATTCCTCCTCATGTAGAGTGAATTTTTGGTGGGAAAGACGATCAGTTGGAAGGGTATGCACAGTAGCATACAGTAATTCCCGGATGCAGGGCTGTATACTGCCCGAGGCGGCGACGATTCGTGGTGGAAGCACTGCTTGGTCTAGGTTCTGGGTCACAATACGTGAGAATTGCAGTGCTGGTTACCGTAGAGCGCGCTTGAAACCAAGGGCAAGTAGGGCACACCGTGATGATAGCGAGAAGGGCAGCAAAGTCTGTTGAATCATAAAGGGTTAGGAATGGCGATAAGAATCTGACTTGCATGGGCCGAAGAGCAGGTAGCTGCGTATGGTCGCCGATCGATTTGGGCTTCGATCGACTCAACCAATGTTGTGCCAGGGAGAATGTGCAGGTGCCGGCTCACGTCATCTCTGGGGGGCTCACTGAACATGGAGTCCGAGTCAGGGAGGTTGCGAATGTTTCCAATGGTGTGAAGCCAATCTGTATAAAATATCAAACAAGGAACAAAGAGAATAGGTTGATCGCTCACAATATTAAGAGTTCGACGCGCCTTCACATTATGCTTGGATCTCAAAGCTGTTCAAACAATGACATGACGAACTCCCCTTGCCACAATCGCAAGCGAGAGAGGAGATGAGAGAGATGTTGCAGGAAGATACGTCAGGGGCAAGAGAAGAGGAGGACCGAGGCGCTTGAACTGAATCGAAATAAACTGGGCCAAGCCGGCAAGAATAGGACGAAGCGCTCTGATCAAAGGTTATGCTCCTAGCTTGGACTGAGAAGTGCTGAACGGGCTAGGCTGGATGATCAAGAGGATGGGTAATTACTGAAGTGTGGTTGCGCACTAACGCGTTGTGATCAATGGCCGAGCAAGGGAGGTTGGGAGACGTAGGTATGGGCATGAATATTCCCTGGGGAGTGTAAGGAGAAATTTCGATACATATACACGAGGTGGTAAGTAAGTGGAGCGATAATCGTCGGAGTCGGTGGAAGCAACGGCGCAAATGCAATCACAACTTGTGTGCACGCAGGAGACGGAAGCGATTAGCGGGGCAACAGTCCCGGCAAATGCCAGAACCTCTGGAATTGAAGGCGACCCGGTTAATTTACAATAGGGAGGAGACCGGGGAAGGAGGAGGGTTTCGCAAAAAACAAGGACAACGAGCAATAAGGGAGGAAAGACAGAAGTTACAGAGAGCAAGGAAACAACCGAAAAAAGGAAACCTAGAAAAACCTAAGTAAGCAATCGGGATCCCACCCACCGAGCACTGAGAAAAAAAATTCCATGAGAAAATCCTCCGTGAAGTAGGATTAAAGTCCCACTGAGAAGCAGGGTTTTGTCTAAATTTTCCATGTCAGACAAATCCTGCTGCCGTACATGATTGTGACCAGAATCATGTCAAAAAGTCCTGCTGAATAACAGGGAATAATCCTTTTATCGTGTAATTATCCGTGATGATATCATAGGGAATCATGCTCTAATGCAGGTCAAATCTTGTTTAATGATGGCTTATGTCCGACTGGATGAAGGATTATATATTGACTAGTCAACACGATGGTATGGGACAATATGACTAGAGAACCACAAAAACATAATGAAACGACGATCATTGTCACAGTGTCAGGAACTTGAACAGCAAAAAAACTTTTGAAGTGAACAATGGGAGGCCATGAGTGTTGTTGGAGAAAAGGATAGAGGTGGGGGTGTTGGAATATCAACAATCGGTTCCAACGACGGAGTGGTGAGGACGGTGTTGATTGTTGGTGGCGGAAGTGAAGTTTTGGGGCACGTCTTTTGCACCCCATTTTTCTTCTTTATGCGACGGGCTCGCCACTGGTGTAGTTCGCGTATAAGAAGGGAGTTTTTTGGACTCCCTCTCCCTCAGATCTCTAACACGAGTCTGAGGTGAGATAGATTTTATTATTCTTTGCAAAACTGTCTAACTGTTGGTGCAGACACTTACGCACCATAGGTACATACAAATTCTAGATCTCTAACACGAGTCTGAGACACTTACGCGCCATAGCCTTATATTTAAAAGGTTATGAGCCCAGAGATGGCCAACTCAAACGATAATACCAAAAGCGTTCATAACATTGAAAAGTTGAAGAACGATGGAAAGAACTATCGGATTTGGTCCATCCGCTGCCGCATGGTGCTCATAGACAGACGTCTCTGGAGCGTTGTAAACCCTAAGGCAACAACCTCTAATCGCCCCACTCCTATCTCTACTTCTGCTGCTGCTCCACAATCCCCCACGGCTTCGGCTTCACAAACTCCTGCTGCTCCGCAAACGTCTACAGCTCCCTCTCCGGACCCTACCCAAGTTTGGGATGAAAAGGATGAGAGAGCGCTAGCACAGATCTGTCTCATGCTTGAAGAGAACCCGCTTAACATTGCCAAAGACAAGAAAAGCGCAAAAGAGGCTTGGGTAGCGTTAGAGAAGCGCTTTGTCGGACAAGGGGCTCTGGATGCCTCGGACCTGGCTTATGATCTACACCACATCAAACTGGATGACTCCAAACCTTTGGAGCCTCAGATCAATCAGATGCGGATACTGCGCCAACAACTGGATTCACTCAGTGACACTATAACAGATGCAAAATTTGCGCTGATTATCGCCAAAGCTCTTCCACCTGCGTATAAACCACTCAAGACTATAGCTATAGCCAATACTCAGGATGCATCGACACTAGCTTGTGAAACCCTCATAGGCCAGATCATCAGAGAAGAAAAGTCTATTAAAAGCGAGGAGGCCGAGACAGCTGCACTACTTGTTAAATCCGCGAAACTACCAGAGAAAGGCAACAAACTAGCAGGAAAGAAGTCCCAGAAGGGTAAAGACCGCCCACGTTGCACTAATCTGAAGTGTAACAAAATAGGCCACACATTTGAACAGTGTTGGGCTGAAGGGGGCAGATCTGAGGGACAATGTCCGTCAAAGTCCAGCAATGGACAGTCCAAGAAACCCTCGAAGGACAACAAGAAGGAAGCTAAAGTGGATGTTCTCCTAGCTGGAGAACATGCTGCAGTTGCAAAACATGGTCCTACTCAGATATCTGAGTGGGTTGTGGACTCCGGTGCATCATCGCACATGTGTGCACACCGTGAGTGGTTCTCATTCTTTACATCTCTCAATCCTCCACGTCCCATTTACCTTGGTGATAAACGCGTCTTGAATGCCATCGGGCAAGGACAGATACGTGTCATCATTCACAATAGTTTCGGTGAGCGACATGCCATACTCAAGGAAGTACTTTATTGCCCCCAGATCGGCACCAACCTACTATCTGTCACACACCTCACTAAATGCGGATCGAATATCCACTTTGCCAACAACAAATGTCAGATATACAATCCAAACAATGATCTCATTGGGATGGCATTCTCATCAAATGGATTATATCGATTAACCTGCACTATCTTTGGAGCGGAACAGGCATACATCACGAAACATGAAACAGACAATGTCGAGGCTGCTCAACTTGCACGTACAACAATGGCAACAGCCTCCATTGATGTGTGGCATGCCCGACTTGGACACATTTCAGTGGATTCAATCCTGAAAATGGTCTGAAGTGGTATGGCCAGGGGAATAGATATAGGAGGAAACGAGCCAACAGAATACTGTGAGGAATGTGAAGCATCAGGACATACCCGATCTCCAATCCCAAAAGAAACACTTACCCGTTCCAAGGAAGTCCTTGGACGAGTCTTCTCCGACGTCTGCGAAGTCCAAACCATCACCCGAGAAGGCTTCCGATATTTTATCACATTCGT